CTATAGGTGGTCGGTAAAAAACAAGTAGTCGGCTATAGGCGGTCGGTAAAAACAAGTAGTCGGCTATAGGTGGTCGGTAAAAACAAGTAGTCGGCTATAGGTGGTCGGTATAAACTAGTTGATGTTGTTGGGATGCCGAATGACATATCTCCTGACCACAAGTGGCGTGGTTTCGATCCCACACTTTACGTGACAAGCAGAAGGGTCGCCCGCCTAACCTCTTGATTTTTCTCCGGGTTCTCCGTTTCCCAGTATTGCTAAAGACTCCTACGCGCTAGCGAATTATTGAACTAAAATTGTAGCTGAAATGGCCTAGACTGTGTCGAGTGGACGTTAAACCCCATTTTACTCGCGCTATTATTGTTGTTGTTGTTGTTGAATAGGTTTTCGGTACAAAGCTATACCAGGTATGTCAATCTCTAATTATATAGGTGTCAATATACAGGTGTTATTATAGAAACACCATCCTAGTCAACCGAGCATTCATCTCTAATCATATACATATCATTCTCGATAACCAAGCTTCCATCTCTCCAATCTGATTAAAACACAGATCCTATTTCGTTTCGTTTTTTATAGTTTAAAATTTCGTTTTATTTGTCTGTACTACACAAGGATCTGGAAGAGTTGCTATATAACATGCGTTCTGCATGGCGTGAGGTATTAGCCAATGAAACCATCTGTTACGGCGACTTCTTGGCGTGCGATTTACGGAACTGTGGGTAAACCACTAGAAACGTCAACGCTGATTGATTAAGGAATTCTGACGTCATAGGGTCAAAAGCCGTTCGTACGACCTATGATGCGACCTTTTACTACAACCGGTCAGATCTTCGTGTAGTGTAGGCCATCGAAACGAAACGAAATATAATCTGTATTTTAATCTGATTGTCATCTCTCTGACGAGACAGTCATCGTTCTCCTACATATAATACACCGGAGCAATTGTGTCTCTCAGTGCGCGTTGGTCGAGAAAGCTCACCGGTATTTTCCGGTGTAGTTTACCCTTTTCAAGACGATCTGATTAGGGACAGCATGCAGTCGTTCGGATGGGTCAGAAAACCGAGGTTATATTATACATTGGAATTCGAAATAAATGTAAGCACATAGTGTATGGTCTTCTTCATTAGTCCGGTCAGAGCAGTATAGCCCATTTCATTTTAACTGGGGGTGGGGGGATGACCGAATGGTTAGCGAGTGCGCGCTGCATCATAAGGTCTCTCATTAAGCCAACCTCCGTGGTTTCGATTCCCCGGTTGTACGCGACAAAGAGTAGGGTCGCCTGTCCAACCTCGTGGGTTTTCCCCACGTCCTTCGGTTTTCTCCCACGCGCAAGCGAATTATTGAAATAAAATTGAACCATATGTTAGTCCCAAAATGACCTAGTTTGTGTCGAGTGGACGTTAAACCCCATTTCTCTCTCTCATTTCACCTGGATGATACGGCGATGTGTCATTGTTCTGTACGAAGATGCTACCATCACTAACAACATCGGTTTCAATTCAACAGTTCGCCCAACAATAGAGAAATGTATTGTGTCCGTTGACCGGTCAATGGAGTCAGCTTATTCCCTTGAAACCACTTTTTATTTAGGTATTAACAATGAACTAGAAGCAATTTAATACCCATCTTTAATACGACATGTGACACCTTTGTTTAGCTGGAGTTTAATTCTACTATTTATTAACCGTTTTCAGTAAATAAATCCTTTAATGTAAATAATATGTATTTATTATCAAGCCACCCAGGTTCAAATCCAGGCCAATAGTAAGTTTCTATACCGTATTTTTTTAGAAGTTTATTATTCAGTATAGTTTGTTTATTATTTGTAATCCTCTTATATTAAAATCTTGTCCAGGTTCCCACGTGTTTTCATCTACGGTTATTTACACCTTTAATTAACACAATGAGGCTGTCATTGTGGGGTTTCTTTCGGAAAACAGAGTACTTTAATGTAGGGCTTTTAAATTGTACTAATAGTCTTTTTCTTAGAAGAAACTCTAAATTTCTAAACTCAACATTTGATTGTCTTCAGATAATACAGATCTTATATGATACGTGATACTGGGTAATCTAGACACCATTTATTGTCCAATAAAGGGAATGTTAACAAGACGATGTTTCTGTGATGTCCAGCGTCAACATGGGAAATGAAATAGGATGATAGTAAATCATTGGGTATTAGAGGATCTTGGAAAATATACATTTAGCAGTTTGGTGTGGACATTTATCGGACTTACCGTGGGATTTGTTAATTCATATTTAGATGTATCTCTCATTAAACATGGCATTAAATAGGAGAATTAATGACAAAATAATTTACTATTCTCGGGATAGATCCGGATTACAGTCGACCCTGAGTATCAACACCATTAATCATGTAGGTTTACTTGATCTAAAATAAACAACAAACAGGCTTGTAGAGAGAGAGAGAGAGAGAGAGAGAGAGAGTTGACCGAGGGATCCGGGAAATTCTGGTAATAGGTAATAGATAGTCTATGGTAGTAGTTAAAGAAGCGTTAGTTATCGCCATTAGTAAACAGATTAAATTCCGTTAAGATATTGTGGCTGAAATGACGATATGGCTTAGAAATGAAATGAAATGAAATGGGGTTTAACGTCCTACTGTTCTGCTCCGAACTGGGCTAATGAAGACGGGCATACGCCATACAGTGTGCTATGAGGGAAATTTTGCCCGGGCAGCGGCACTACGGCCTACTCTTATCGAATTCTAACTGCCAAGGGATCTTTTACGTGCAAGCCAATGTGTACACGGGACCTCGGTTTTTCGTCCCATCCGAACGACTAGACAGCTGTCCTTGTCAGGCCCTCCGTCCTGCATCACTGACAAGGGGAAACCACGATGGAAAATCTGGATGAACTTTTTCGGCCAATGCAGGGATCGAACACCTGACCTCCGGGCTAGCGAGCCAGCGTCTTACCCACTTAGCCACGTGATCCCCGATATGGCTTAGAGAGAGAGAGCGCGAGAGTTGGGGTTTTGAGTCTACTCGACACAAAGTAGGTCATTTCAGGACTAACATATGGTTCAATATGATTTCATTAATTCGCTTGCGCGTAGGGGTCTTTAGTAGTGGGAGGAAACCGGGGGACCCGAAGAAAACCCACGAGGTTAGACAGGCGACCCTAATCCTTGTCAGGTACAGCCGGGGAATCGAAACCACACGCTCTCTCTCTCTCTTTCTCTCTCTCTCTCTCTCTCTCTCTCTGGGTCCCCCGGTTTCCTCCCACTGCTAAAGACCCCTACGCGCAAGCGAATTATTGAAATGAAATTGAACCATATGTTAGTCCCGTAATGACCTAGTTTGTGTCGAGTGGACGTTACCCCGCCCCCCCCCCCTCTCTCTCTCTCTTGAAAAGACTTGCCGAAAGAGACTATTAATCAAAGCCATTACGTGTTCCAAATAAGGGTATAAATCTTGTATTACTACGCCTTTAGTAGATGTTTATTTAAGGTTTCTCTCTGTAAAACTACATGACGATTGATTTCAGTGAATGTCACTGTTCGTAGAATGTATTGCTGAATTTAATTTACAAATGCTTGTCTTATTAATTTCCTCATAGTGTAAAACTACAGCGGTAAGATTGCCATGACTACTAGGTTTGTTGACATATCAGAGGCCTAGGATATTTTAGGAACGGGGTCTGCACCGATTTGGTTAATAAAGACGGTTTTCCGCCAGTCAGCACCTCGGAATAACCACTGCTGTTGATCGCAGCTAGTTTTCAGACTGAGAGAGCTGTATCCGTGGCAGGTTACTGTTAATATACTTCACAAACTTATCATTATCAACGGAAGACCATTAGGGTCAATCAATTGAATCTAAATTCTGATTATTTTGTAATTAGGACACTTTTTTTCATGTGATTGACCCCAATGGGCTTCTCCGTATCTTGTAATTTCAAGCTAGTTATAAGAAAACTATCTTGCAATTACAAGATAATCAGAATTTTTTACTCATTTGATTGACCCTAATGGTCTTCCGTAATTATCAAAAAATGTTGACTCGGTGCGATATTTGCGACCAATCACAACCTAGTTCTCGTCCGTCGTTTAATTAAAATCAGTTGTTTTTTAATTATATTAGTTCAAACCAAACGAAAATGTCTCTTTAAACTTTAAAGGCCACCATATAGTGTACGATAGAAAGAAAAGTTTCATTGGGCGTACAGTTTTTATATGACATCATGGGGATGTGTCCAAACCAAAATGTTTCCTTAAACTTTAAAGGCCATCATATAGTGTGTGATAGAAGGGAAAGTTTCATTGGGCGTACAGTTTTTATATGACGTCATGGGGTTGTGTCTAAACTATATTTCTCCGCTGTAAACACGGACTTTACGGACAAGGTAATACACGGCTTGGAACGAAATCTACGACTATGTTGACTCGACTCCGGGAAGATGTGTTTATACCTTTTGTTATATCTTGAATCCCTATAATGTTTTTTATAGTTCAAAATTTCGTTGTATTTATCTGTACTACACTAGCATCTGGAAGAGTTGTTATATAACCTGCGTTCTGGATGGCGTGATGGATTAGGCAATGCAACTATGTGTTACGACGACTTCTTGGCGTGCGATGCAGGGAACTATGGGTAAATCAAGAGAAACTTCAACGCCGATTGATTAATCAATGCCTTACGTCAAAGGTCAAAAGCTGCTTGTACGACCCCTGACGCGACCTACCAGTATAACTGGTCAAATCTTCATGTAGTTTGGGCCATCGAAAGTATAAAAAAACGAAACGAAATATAGATCTGTATTATAATCACATTGTGGTGAAAAAATAGGAATAGGATCTAGTATATCTGTTTCAAAGCCAACCACACTGAAGTATCACACATGCTATTTCGCGTGTCTGTCTAGTTCTGTTTATTTAGCTTGATCCTGATTACCCTTTACGGGCCTTGGAATTGATTTTATTTATTTATTTATTTATTTATTTATTTAATAATATTTTGTTTTACTTTTTTCAGGGTCATGTTGGATTGTCTAAATCTGACAATGGAAGCTCAACACAACATGAGCATTGCTAATGACGAAGCGAAAAAACTCTTTGAGGAAGTCAGCCATGTTGTTTATGGTTTTGGCATACCGTCTGTATGTTTATTCGGTATCTTTGGTAACGTGTTAAACTTGTGTATATTAACCAGACGAAAACTACAAAAGGCCTTCAAAAGACTGGAGTTATCTGCTAATTTGTGCCTAGTTTCACTCGCCGTGTCGGATCTAATGTTTTGTTTCTTTGCCTTCCCGACGGTGTTTTTACCCCAAGATGATGTTTACACCAGCAGGGGGTTTGTTTTGTATTACAGAATCTACTGTGCCGCCATTATTAACGTGTTCATCATCATTAGCACGTGGTTAACTGTTGCTATGGCGTTAGAACGATATCTCGCGATATGTCATCCGTTACGTCAGGATATTTACTTGACAACCAGTAGGATCAAATGTGTTATTGTGATAACTTACGTGTTCTCATTCACCTTCAACATTCCTGTCTTGTGGCGGTATGAAGTTCGACAACTCTGCACAAACACCAGTACAAAAGTTTATATACCAAATCCTATTCCTCTGTGGAATGATCGACAGATCGACACGGCTTATCGGATAATCTGGGCGGTGATCGGTAACTTTATTCCACTTGTTCTTTTGCTCTATTTTAATGTCTGCCTGTGCCGTAAAATTTACAAATCCTACAAAATGCGACAAGCGTTTAAACGTGATCGTCGCAGTGATCATTCGTCGACGAGCACGAGCCATACAATAACGATAACTCTCGTTGTCATCATCGTCATGTTCTTCATCTTGGTGGCGCCATCTGAGATAGTCATCCATCTAGCTAGAATCACGGACAATGAGAGCAACTACACGTATTTAACTATCGAGGCTGTCATGAATTTTATGCAGTCTGTCAATTTCTCCGTTAATTTCATTCTCTACTGTATCATAAGCCCTTACTTCAGAAAAACCCTGAAATATTTGTTTTGTTGTGGCTGCTGGAACATTTACCAAGTGTCTAAACAATGGAAAAAGGAGTTTGAAACATCGCTAATGTAAACTAAAACAAAACAACGACGTGTTATAACAATTTGAAAAAAAAACTAAGATGGCGATGTTTTGTGTTACGTTAGCACGGATTTTCTACATTGCTTAATCATTTGTAAGCAGAACAGAATTAGAAATAACATTAAATCATCATTATTTGTTTACTTCAACATAATTGTGAAGATTATTCTTTAAAAAGAGGCACAATTTGTGGATATTAGGTGTCGGTTTTGTGTTCCCTAAACGCGACCCTTTTCAAAGAAATATTAAGTTTATGTGGAATTATACCCACCATTATTTTGTTTTCTAAAGATCGTGTAAATAAATTTAAAATATTTTAATAAACGTTGTATAGCCTACTCACAAACGATACCGTGCCTGTTATCTAGGCTGGATGTACTTACAAAGACACTCAGCGGGAGTCGAACTCATTCATGAAATTACTGATGGGCATTATTAACTTGATATATCTTAAGCGTTTAGTGTGAAGCCCCAGCTAGACACCAAAACCTCATCTGCATAGACATCACAGAGGGCAAGTATCATCGTAAGGTTTAGTTGTTAGGGCAATATGGCGGAAAGATTGTGGAGTTGTTCTGGGATCCAGACTAGCCTGAAGCTCAAGGACAATTTATTACGTTTTTAAACCATGATTCGATAAACCACCAATCACATGGATTGTAATAAAAATGCGCTTACATATAACACTCATCCTAATAGGTTAATAAATAACCCGATTTTATATAAAACGTCTTTTTTTAAAATTCTTTTTCAATAAAGCTCAATGAAATGGGCTTTAACGTCCTGTCTTATTGGATGAATGGGGATAATGAAAATCGACAAACGCCATACGAACGTACGTGTGCTATGAGGAAAGTTTTCTCCTCGGTTTTTGGTTCCATCCAAACGACTCGGAACTTTCTTGGCCAACACCCATATTGATCCAGCGCCCACCTGGTTAGCTGGCCACCACCATTTACTCACTGAGCCACCGTGGCTCCTAGTTTTACGTAGATGTCTTTAGCACTGGGAGGACACCGGAGGACCCGGAGAAAACCCACGTGATTGGACAGGCAACCCTACTCCTTGTTACCTACAAGCGGGGACTCGAAACCACGCCAGTTGACTCAATGACATACCTTAAGCTGTGATTCAGGGTAGATCTGCGCAAAAGTATCACTATACAAACTACAGCTATCATTTAGAAATGAAATGAAATGGGGTTTAACGGCCTACTGTTCTGCTCTGAACCGGGATAATAAAGACGGGCATGTGGCATACAGTGTGCTATGAGGGAAATTTTGCCGGACAGCGGGACAACGGCCTACTTTTATATCGAATTCCAACTGCCAAGCGATCTTTTACGTGCACGCCAATGTGTACGGGGGACTTCTATTTTTCGTACCATCCGGTCGACTAGACAGCTGTCCTTGTCAGGCCCTCCGTCCTGCATCACTGACAAGGGGAAACCACGCCGGAAAATCTGGATGAACTTTCTCGGCCAATGCAGGGATCGAACCCCCGACCTCCAGGCAAGCGTCTTACTCACTTAGCCGCGGTGACCGCAGCTCACAAAGAATTATCGAGGGCTCAGAACCATCATAAAACCGATTCGTCCAGAAGCGGATATCTGGCACGTGGTCACTTCTAGCACTAAATTGCTGTTTATTAGGCACATATTCACTTCTGGCTGGACTATTAGGAGTGACACCCCTTTTTAGAGATATTGCCTCCTGGTTCTGGGCCCTCGGTATGCCCAAGTATAGAATTCGCGATGTGACAAGGAGGAGCCCGTCGGAAAATCCCTATGAACTTTCTCGGCCATTCAATTTCTTGCGTAATTACGATACTAAGAATACCAGACGTACAAGCAGTTGTTCCAGTGTAAGCCTCCAGAGCATGTGTCTGTTGTAATTACGATACCTGACGTACAAGGCGTTCTTCTGGTGTAAGTCACCAGAGCTTCTGTTGTATATCAAAACCGCCATCAGTTAATACTAAAGTCACTTTCATAACGTGGGTAATTAACTATTAGAGTACATTCCTTAATTATAGGGATCAGCACAGCTGTCTTTCAGAGAGAGAGAGAGAGAGAGAGAGAGAGAGAGAGAAATGGGGTTTAACGTCCACTCGACACAAACTAGGTCATTACGGGACTAACATATGGTTAAATTTTATTTCAATAATTCGCTTGCGCGTAGGGGTCTTTAGCAGTGGAAGGAAACCGAAGGACCCGGAGAAAACCCACGAGGTTGGACAGGCGACCGTACTCCTTGTCACGTACAACCGGGGAATCGAAACCACTGTAGCACCATGGGTCTTTTGTCTGACGTGGAGAGCGTACATTGTCAAACCGGTCACATCCTACGTAGAACCCATGCATCTTTTCTTACTACATATTTCTGTAGCCTTGTGATCGTCTAGGATTTGTCTCTAGCTGTCTTTACTTCTGCTTCACGTTGTGTATTTACTTCTTCCAGTTTCTTAAGACGTTTGTCATACCAGGAATAATAATGCATAGTTCGCTTCTACATTTTATATAGCATATAACTGAATACAGGTATACAAGCATAGCACAAATTACAATACTATATAGCTAAAACCACTTCTCCACCCTATCCAGCCTCTCGGCTGTCTAGGAACTCAGATGTACCCTCGATCTCTGGAATCTAATGCAAGTCTGACTTACAGGGTTCCCCGGTTTATTTTAAAGGTAAGTGAATATCATGCACAATAACGCGTGATCATGGCCCTGAACTTGTGTAATTAACAAAATGATTGGTTACTTTTAATCAAATGATGCAATTAGAATAATTCCACTCACGTGTAATTCGGTGGTAAATGAGTGACATATGTTTTCGATAAATCGCTCTTTTTTATGTGTCAACTATCAATTACAGACTAAGTTGATATAAGTATTTTAAGTACATATCACATATTATGCGAATATGTTATTTCTCGAGCAAAAATTCTACTAAAAGTATTACACCACGCCAGTTGACTCAATGACAGACATTATGATACAGCGCGCACGTGCTAAACATTCGGTCATCCCCCCCCCCCAACTGTCTTTCATATAGAACACGTACACTACATGCCTGTTGTCATTATCCTGGTCTGCATGGTGTTAAACCACATCTTCGATTTTAACGCATTGGGGGGGGGGGTCATTCACGTCCCATCCGAATGACTATACGTCTGTTCTTTTCAGCCCCCCCCCCCCACCCCGCCCTATACTGCTGACACGGGGAACGACAGACTTGAATTGTCTAGGAGAACACTGAGATCAAACCCGAGACCATCTTTGCCCCCATCATGGTCTGGTAAATGATCTACAAGTGGTTGGTGGTTGGGGGCATAATACATCGATACAGACGCCGGGTTCGGAATGAAATGAAATCAAATCAATTGGGATTTAACGTCTTACTGTTTGGCTCCGAGATGGGCTAATGAAGACGGGCGTACGCCATACAGTGTTATGAGGGACATTTTGCCCGGACAGCGGCACTACGGCCTACCCTTATATCGAATTCCAACTGTCAAGGGATCTTTTACGTGCACGCCACCTCGGTTTTTCGTCCCATCCGAATGACTAGACAGCTGTCCTTGTCAAGCCCTTCGTTCTGCATCACTGACAAGGGGGAAACACGCCAGAAAATCTGGATGAACTTTCTCGGCCAATGCAGGGATCGAACACCCGACCTCCAGGCTAGCAAGCCAGCGTCTTACTCACTTAACCACCGTGACCCCCACGCCGGGTTCGAACCCACGTGTAGAGTCACATATTCATCAGCCAGTCCACACAATAGTAAGACACTTTCCTCATACAGTTCAATGTAATATAGGTTACCGCAGTAATATTCCTGGTGCGAAAAGGGCATGTCATCAAAGTACTTTCCTCATACAGTTCAATGTAATATAGGTTACCGCAGTAATATTCCTGGTGCGAAAAGGGCATGTCATCAAAGTACAATTCTGTGTGAAGGCATACATCTGAGAGATTTCTCCATGAAAAGCCATTCAGTGATAAGAAAATGCCCCTCAGTATTAAGCTGTCACCGTGTCAAGACGATAGCTTCTTCAATGGGCTGTAATTAACAATGCCACCGTCTTCACAGACAATATAATAACACGGGCTTATTGATAGGTTGTATAACAGTCAATTCGACATAAACCGACCACATATCCATGGGACATGGGATCTATTATTCTACACACAGAGAGCCATCTACTTCATACTTCAAGAATAGATCTCTGTCCTGAATGGCCGCCATATCCAAAACTTTCTATATTATTTTGTAATGCGGTTCTACTCTGTTTAACATCTGGCATACACACAAAGCCCAAAAAAATTTATTCAATTCCATCAAATGGGGGCAAAAAAATAATTTCCAAAATTCTCGAAGTAAACTTAATTAGTGTATTCGACTAAAATCATCGATTCGGGACATAAAATGTCGGTCAACTAGCTTAGTGTCTCTTCTCAAGCGAAGTTAAATGTAGACAGACAACCAATAAGTTTAGTATGGGGATCTATCACTCAGTACAGTTCATGATTTGCATTCGTATTGATTAGGTCTAGCAGAGAGCGAACAACGGAGGTTTAGGTTAAACACTGGTTTCTGGTTTTAAATGTCACTCTCGTAGTTTCGCATACCCAAAAGGCAAGAAAACCTGGATCATCCGTCTAAAAGATTAAAAACTAGGGGATCATCCGTCTAAAAGATCACAAACCAGAGTCCCATCCGTTAATATCACAAATATGTGGATCATCCGTCTAAAATATAACAAACTAGAATGATTCAGAGGATCATACGCCGGATATCATCGATCACAAACCGGATATAATCGATCACAAACCGGATATCATCGATCACAAAGGTGAGGATCATCTGCCTAATGCTAAGTCCCCCACTGTCACGATTCGCTCTGCGATTGAAATCGTGGTTTTAATCTTTGAGTAATCGTGGTGATCCTATCTGGTCTTATCATATAATTAGGTCAGTCGTAGCAATCGTGTTGATCGTATCGAAACGTATCCGAACGTATCTGCACGTACCACATCGTGTACTCAATAGGGAGAATCATATCCTAACGCATCGCACGACAGGGGGGTCCTAGCATAAAAGATCACAAATCGGTCGACTATCCGGAAAGATAACAAACCTGGGGAACATTCGTATAAACAAATCGTAAACCTGGGAATCGTTCGTCTACATGATCGCACATCGGAGAATAATCATCCCTCTACAATATCACAAACCGGCCGACCATGAATCTAAAAGATCACAAACCGGCCGACCATCCGTCATCTGACAGTTGCAGATAGATAAACCAAGAAACGGTCGTGATATACCGTTTAACGGGGACGAAACGTCTGTGACATATGGTTTGTCGGGGACGAAATTGTATGGAGTTCTTAGCTCGAGTCGTACGGGTCCTATCGTGGGCTGTGTGGGTGGTGTGAATTTGAATACCGACAATACAGGATGTTGAGTACACGTGTGCCAAGAAAATTATCTAATGAGTTCCTCTAGAGAATTACTTTTACAGTATTAAGCTTTACACCTCAATATCGGATTTCAATTAACTTTCAAATTTGTATAGAGACTGTCGACTGAGATCGATAATGAATAAACTACGCAGACAATTGCATTTATTTCTTTCGCTTGTTAGTTAAGTAATTTGATTCAATGATTTTACAATTTGGAAGGCAGACGACGGAATGGTGAGGGTGTTCATTGATCGG